AGTTATTTGTTCAGCAGAAAACCACTATCAGGCACTTAAGCAAAGAACAGAAGCTCGTAAGAAGGACCAAAATAGTCTGAAGTGGTCAAATTGTCACTAACTCACACCTTGCTCTGCACTCTCTACTTTTAGGGATTTAGCCATCCCTCTCCCACATAGCTACACTTCAAGCAGCAGGAGCTTAGAGTGCCTTCCGCAAAGCCAGATGAGAAGCAGGAGTATGACTCCTCCAGGGTGATGGGGATAAACATGTCTCACTCCTTGAACAAGTGTCCCAAGAGCAGGGAGTTATGCAAGAGAAGAGCCTCCTTTTCTTATATTTGTCAAAAACTGAAATCTGGGTGTCAGCACACCAAGATAGCCTGTAAGAGCAGAGCCTTTAAAACTGAAGTCTTTGAATTCCAGCTACACATACAGCTGTTCAGATTGAATACTGCCTAAAAAGGAGTGGGCTTTTCTTCGTGTTTGCTGCCGAGTAAAGGTCTTTTGGACCACAGGAGTGGATTTAAAAGGTTACAAGTTTCCAAACTCATTTTTTCAAACAAGAATTACTAACAGGAATTTACAGAAGTATTCTCATTTACCTCTCTACTATTCATGTAGCTGTGGTATCTCAAGAGTAGCTGCTCTACCATCATACTATACATGTACCCAGTAACAGTGACTGCAAACAGTCATACTTCGGTTTAGTCAGCCATCTCTTCTCCCAGTTTTATGCATACATGATGGCCTGAACTGTGGCCTTGAGGGTGACAATAATGCATGATGGGCATTTTGTAATCTTGAGAAAGCTTCAGGCAGCAATCTGTTACCCAATATTTAAGACTGGGATTTTCTCTCCTTTTAAAGCTACTCACGCATAGCTATGCAGTGCTCCACACACACGTCTTAACATCCCAGCAGAGTCTGTAAAGAGAGACAGTTGTTTGCAAAGTAAAAAAAAAAATAGGAACAGACTGAGTGTCAGTAAGTGGCAGCTGCCAAGGTAGGCAGACATCTTGTAGCATGTCACTGAGGCAGGGAAGGAGTAGAAATCATTTACCCATTTGCAATGGAAAATTTTTATTTAAAAGGGATGACTGATAACAACCCACTGCCTCTCATCAGCCCAAGTCCTCTTTCATAAGCTCTCTTTCATGCCAGCTCTGTTTCCTGTGTGTTCTTTAGCAGTCATGGAATGAGAAAAAGGACTGATAAACCATACACTACAACAGGGAAAAAAAAGGGCATGCAGCACTGCTGCTCTGCATATTCAAAACTGACTGGAGAAGCAAAACAGTGAAAGCTGACAATTATAACTTTAGAGTAATTACAGAGTATTTCAAGATCTGTAATCTAGACAAGTAATTGGGAGACATTTTAATAATAACTCTTTGTGAAGACGTTTCTGTAGAGCGAAGATTTTCTACACAAGTTCTCCTCTGAAGAGGCTGTTCATTCTTTTCCCTCTCACCAGAGAAAGCATTTCAGTTCTGGTACCATAAACACTATAAGTCTGAGATTAAAAAATATATATATAAGAAAGAACAGGACCATTATAGGGAAGTCTTTTAACTTTTTTCCCCCCCTCTAGAAACATGGGATAGTCCCTTCCCATCCCTACAGATGATAATTATTAGTCAAAAGAGATTGTAGCGTCTCAATTAGATCAACAAAGTAAAGTTTATCATTCCAAGTCTGCCCTTTCAAAGGAGAAGAGCTGTTCCCACATGTGCCCCATCCCTGGGCTGAGCACACATTTCTTCAGCCCCTGCCTCAGCCCTCCTCTCCGACCAGGGGAGAAGGGCTGGTCTCAAGAGTAACTCTCTCTGTAACCCAGAGAATCACTGCAAACCTGAAACGAGGGAGGGCAGATGTTGAACAGACACAGGAACACCACACCCCTGGAGCAATTCATGCTCGTTTCATGCTCGTTTACAAGCCCTTGCTCTGTCACAGTGGGATAGTCCAAACTGGCACATCAACATGGGGAAAGCTTTGAGATTTGAAATAGACATTAAGCAGATGCCTGATAGAATTACAGAAATACTATTCTTAAAGAACTTTAATTACTTGAAGAAATGTTTTACTGCTTTTCATGTAAGAGAATTAAGAACAGGCCCCGGTGAAGGGCCTGGAGAACAGACCTTATGAGGAGTGATTGAGGGAGCTGGGTCTGTTCAGTTTGACCAAGAGGAGGCTGAGGGGGGAATCTCATCATGCTCTACAATTACTTGAAAGGACATTGTAGAGAGGTTGGTGCTGGTCTCCTCTCACAGGTAATTAGGGACAGAACCAGGGGGAATGGCTGCAAGTTGCAACAGGGCAAGTTTAGGCTGGACATTAGGAAGAAATTCTTCACAGAAAGCGTGGTCAGACACTGGAATAGACTGCCTAGGGAGGTGGTTGAGTCACCATCCCTGGATGTGTTCAAGTGTCGTTTAGATGGGGTGTTGGGTGATATGGTTTAGGGGTGACCTTGTAGTGTAGGGTCAATGGTTGGACTCGATGATCCCAAAGGTCCTTTCCAACCTGAATTGTTCTATGATTCTATGATTCTAAGGCCAATGGCATCCTGAGGTGCATCAGGAAGAGCGCTGCCAGCAGGTCAAGTGAGGTCATCCTCCCCCTCTACTCTACCCTGTTGAGCCTTCATCTGGAGTACTGGGCCCAGCTCTGGACTCCCTGGTTCAGGAAGTACAGGGAACTGCTAGAAAGGTTACAAAAAAGGGACTTTTTAGTCTGGAGAAGACTGAAGGAGGACCTTATCAATGCTTATAAATATTTAAAGGGTGGGTGCCAGGAGGATGGGGCCAGTCTTTTTTCAGGGTGTGCAGTGACAAGAGGTAACGGGCACAAAGCTTGAACATAAGAAGCTCCATCTAAACATGAAGAGGAACTACCTTACTTTGAGGGTGCCAGAGCACTGGAACAGGCTGCCCAGAGAGATGGTAGAGTCTCCATCTCTGGAGACATTCAAAACCCATCTGGATGCCATCCTGTGCAATCTGCTCTAGATGAACCTGCTCTGACAGGGAGGTTGGACTAGATGTGCTCCAGAGGTCCCTTCCAACCCCTGACATTCCATCTAACACATTTTCTTTAACTCAGGCTGTCAGTGAAGAGTGATCCCCCATAAACACTAAAGGAAAGTAGAACAGACCATGCAGTACAACAGATATAAAGCTTACCTAGAAAGAGAAAATAAAGGTGTATCAGCACTGCTAATACACATAGCAAAGGCAGTGGGACTTCCCTTTTAATAGTGTCAAACTGAAAGTTCTCAATAATATTCACATCCTCAGAACATCTAAACACAACTACCCAGTATTTTATGATGCTCAAAGTAATTTCTAAGAATCCTCTAGACTCCAGACGCATCTTCCCAAGGCAGCATGATGTGTTGGCTTAAAGAAGCCTCCAGCATCAAGAACTATCAGTTTTTTGCCCTCACAGACAGCTGACCTTAATAACGTACCTGGCAGCATACAGATAACAGAAGTGCTATGAACATGCACCTCCACTACAGACACAGAAAGAATTTCTAGGCACTCGATTTGCACTTGTTTGGATGCATCATCATATTTGTCAGGTGATAAAACCTGGCAGTCGAGACTATCTGCCTTCTTCAAAGGCTTTGCAGAGATCTCACCGTACTGTTACAGGTTCAAGTTAACAGGTAACCAGTAGCACCATGCCACTCATTTTCGTTCCTCCAAATCTTTCAAGAGTCGTGGTAACTAAAGCTACAGAAATCAACTGATAGTAAGACTTCAGTGAAACACTCCAGGATCAAAAAAAAACCCCAAAAAAACCCCCCACAAAACCCCAAACCCTCATAACATTAAGTAATGTGAATCCAGGCAATCTGAAGAAAAAATACACACCTGGGGGGAGGAGAGGAAGTAAATATTTACATATATGCTTACAATAAAAGACATACCTCCCTCATTTTAGGCCTTTGCGAAAAGTAATATTGTAATGTTTCACAATATGAGTTATTCAATCATTAATATAATATACAAGAACTATCAAAGACTTGAAAATATTTCAGTGCTCTTCTGAACCTAAGAAAACATGAACTCGGTAACCTAACATGCAGACATTGTCAAGGAAAGCTTCCCTGGTGCTGACCAGCTTCTTCCAACACTCATCATGGACTATATCACACTCTTAATTCATGCAGATAAACAAGGAAAGAGCCACTTCAATAATGAAGTTGGGCTCTTTATGTGCAGGGCTGTTACCAAAAAAAAAAAAAAGGCATACAATAATTCAACATATTTCATCAATGTAGAGACCTGACAAGCTGCATAATTTAGAATGTATCTAAGGACAGCAAGGCAGCCCTCCTGAAACTGAAGGCAAGATTTTTTTTTTAACTATTAGATATTATCTTTCAATGATTTTTTTTCAATTATTTCAATTATTACCTTTCAATTATTTAAGAAACTTTAAAATTCATACACTGGCACAAGAAATGTAGCTCAGTTAAAAACGGATCAACTCAGTAACAATCATGTAAAAAATCAGTCCTGCTACATTCAATGCATTTTAAAGACTGCTTCCTTAATATTAATGCTTTAAAGATACCAATTAGTGATTGCTGACCATCATGAATCTTAGTGAGTCTTCTATTATTTTCAAATCTAAAAGCATATTGGATTTATAAGTAGTGTTTTCAATAGAACAAAGGCCATTTTATTCACATAACTTCAGAACAGTATTGATGTTTCCAACATGTCACTTGACCACAGGAACGTCTCAAAAACTGGATGACATTTACATGTATCGACAGTATTGCAGCTGATCTTTTTATACAGAGTGATTATTTCATTAGTTATGATCAAAACGGGACACAAGAGGTATTTGCTGGTGAAGGACAAAACAGCACAGTACCCTGTGTTCATACCATAGGAAATATTTCAAAACATAACTGCATGTTTCCCATGTACACCAATTAACATTTTAGGAAATTTTATCCTCCTGAATCTAAACCAAAATAGCCTGAAGATTCTCACACACAGTTTTGTACTCCAAATATTGCAGTGCTTTGTAACTAACAAAGGCCATAATCACCCAACTAACAATTTTCATTGTTTGATCCAAGTGGCATGCAAGGAGTGAAAGGCTCACAGTAAATGCATTCAATTAAATTCTTTTTAATGATCTGCAAGCACAGAAGACACAAAGAACGTTTAAAAAAGGTGAACTTTACGCTGAGTGTCCTTTAAAAAGCTAGCAGCACAAAATATTTTTTTAACAGACCAGACATCTATCTTGCGTCCTGAGCAGTAGTACATCATTTTGTTGTCCATGATTTTTGACTCCCAGGTTTTGCAAATGCTGATACATCAAGACTTTTACCGCTGCTGCACTGTTCATATAAAGTCTAAAAGTTAATAAAAACAGGTATTCAGGTGAACAGTTGTACTGCACAGGGATTCAAACTGTATCTTTATAAAAAACATTACCACTGGAAATAAGTCATCACATACTGAAATATTCCAAACTCCACACTAAAACTTCTCCCTCAAATCAGAAAATAAAGACACACTTAAAGCAGCATAGTTGTACCAGTTGTAAACTTAAGGCAGCATAGTTGTACCAGTTGTAATGCAATGTAGTGCCTAAAATAAAACACGTACGCTAACTTAGCAGCATGAGCAATTGCACAGAGCTTCAGAAGCTGGCAGAGAACAGACTAATTACTGAGGTTTAAAATCAAGTTTACTCCGTTAATTATCTCTGATGTGGAAACACTAGCATGGAAGAAGAGGTATTTGCATACTTGAGGGAGCAAGATAGGAAAATCAGTGGCCACAAAACACAGCCACATCACACTTGTTAAAAGGATAATCTCTTGTTCATACTCATTTTTAAAAATGATCAGGTATGACTAGCAGTGTAAGTATAAACTTCTTGAGATTTATTTTATGCACACTGAATTTACTTTCCTTCCCAAGAAAGTGGCTTTGCATTCCATCTCAACTTACGATATATTTGACCACCATCCCCTCTTCTGCGAGACAGGTGCAAATAACCAAGTTGGTGAAGTGTTACCAAGTTTCTCTTTCAAACAGTAAACCCAGAGGCTGAAACCGTAATACCTCAACCAGGGCTAATTTACACAGAGCAATGCATTAAGAGTTCAGTCCAAAAGCTGGCACCCTTGACAGATCGATCTAGATCGTGTCTCCATAACGAAGGTCCTTAAATGACAAGACCCCCCTACAGATTTTGCACAGCTTAAAAGCAAAGCAGCACCATAAAGACTGTTGTAGAGAGGAGATGCTGGGGCAGCAGGTATCTGCAAGTAAGGCAATGCAGATACACTGGGACACAGAAAGGAAAGAAAAAGCTAAAAATAAAGACTACTATCATCTTTTCAGAAATTCTGCATGCTTGCAAAAAAAAAAAAACACTACAAAGTGTTTTTCCAGCTGTGGCTAAAGCTCCATATATGTTTCCTTTCAGCTTTCATTACCAAACGTTCTCACCTTTGTTCTCATAACATGTACTACCAGATAAAACAGAAAAAGTTTACTTACCCTCGCAGCTCTAGAAATGGAGTTGGGAGAATTCAAGCCAACAAGCTGGCCAAGGATACGTTTCATTTCCTCAGTTGTTCCTTTTGCATTTGGAACACCTGCAGTTAATTCAGAATTATGTTACAGTTTACACAGAGTTGTATACAATTATCAGTGCAGTTTTTAAGAGGTTTATGAATTAAAATATTGAAGTCTTTTCTGGAACATAAGCACCAAGCAAAATAGATTGTTACATCTGCAAGTAGAAAGCACATAAGAGCATTTTGATTTCTCAAATAGAATGATAAATAAAAATTTTAAATAAATGTACCTGTTTGACAATTACTTTGAATTTGAACATAAGGATGTACCAGCAACTCCGAAACAGATATTCTTTGTTTAGGATTTCTTATTAAACAGCGCTGCAAATGAAAAAACAAAAAGAAGAGGAAGAATGCTTTGCCTGCAAATTAAGAATTTTCCTAAGAATTAACAGTGATAATCTTTAACAGACCCTGTAAGATTCATGTCAGTACTTCTTACTGCTGAACTACATACTCAGACTCAACTCGATACAGTAACAGATTAACCTCGTTGCCTTCATTAGCAATTATCTCAGAGTAAAGTTTGGTATCCTGCCTTACTCAAGCAACAAAGAAAAGATGAAGACCAGAACCTACAATATCCTTTTATTTTGAAGGACTCAAAATGACACCAAGATTTCAAAGTTAAGGGGTTAAGTATTTCTGGAATGCAGTTTGTTACCTGCTGAGAAATGTAATTAGGGCTTGAGTGAAATCATAGTCCAAGTTTCAAAAGCAGGAATAGGTACAGGATGAGGGAAATGGATGGCAAGGACAAATGATATTGTATTTACTGGCGCTTATAACGCGAAGGTCGTGGGTTCGATTCCTGTTCAGTCCCCATGTGTTGCCTGATACAGTTGAGAGGTGTCCCTGCCCATGACAGAGAGCCTGAATTAGATGATCTCTAAGGTCCCTTCCAGCCTAAGCCATTCTATGATTCTCTGATTTTACTGTGGGTTGCTCAGCCAAAAAGATTTATATCAGACTGCTCTAAGTATTTGCTTGTTTATTTGCTACTGAACTGAAAATAGACTTTTACTATGGAAGTGATATGAAGTAGCTCTAGCTTCCTTAAGTCTTCTTTAGGAGTAAGTAAGGCCTACATATAGCAATAAGCATTTATTTGTGGAAAAATGTTTCTCAAGCACAACTCAGTTTAAGAAAATATGCTTTAAATACAAAAATTGCCATTATCTGAACCAAAGCTAATCTTACAGGACAGTTACCTTTAGCACATCTTGAAGATCCTTCTCAGCAATATCTGGAAATTCTATTTCATAACTAGGATCAACAATAGCATGCAGTTTATTAATTGGATTTGTTATGTGTTGAAACGGAGTCCTCCCGTAAGTCATGCAGTATAAAATGCATCCCAATGACCACACATCACTTTTAGGACTTATCTAATATAAAATCAAAAACATTAAGATTATTTCTCACTTAAGGAACTGTCCCTTCAGTCAATTTATCATATAATCATACAATCATTTCACTTAGTGTATCTATTTTACATTGGATAAAAGATCTTATTAACTAGCATACAAAAAAAGCCCAGCATGCCCTTATCTACCACGACAGCAATGTGACTTCATTCACTAATATTCCATAAGAAAGCTATTTTTATTAATTAACTTTAAAAAAATCAACTTGCTTATACAACTAAAAGAAGCCCTTAGCAAGTTGAACAGAAGGATTCTAATTTCAGATTTACAAGCAAATATAAATAAAAGCATACTAAATTAATTCAATCCAGAAACCAGCAAGACATCACAGCTGTGTCCTCAAAGTGAGACTCTGGGTTTAAAGGATTCAGATTTCAGCCACCACACTTGGGCTGTTCCGTACAAAATTCTCCACTTCTGTGAAAGCTGAAGCACTTGAAGAAAAGTGCATAAGGTTGGTGGCATGGGGGAGAGGAGGGAAGCGAAGCAAGAGGCCCACAGAGTTCCTGACTCCCAGCACAACGGTTAGATTTTTGCTTATATGAGCTGAGCTCCAGAACAAGTCTGCACTTTGCACACAATTTTTAAAAACATTTTAAAAAAAAGTTAAAGGTATAATCCCTAACACAAGAAATCCATCTCTAAGAAACCCTATTTGGTGATTAGAAAGGCAAGACTGTGTTTCACAGCATAGTAATACTTCCATTCAGCTGTTAAAGTCACAATCCTTGCGTATATATGTGCACATACACATGATTACAGATTATTTTTTAATACCTTTCCACAAGACTGTGTAACCCCTTAACTGAAGTTTGACTGCCAATGAGCAATTGCTTTCCTTCAGTCCCTTCCTCGGCATTGACATTCTATTCCCCTGATGGAGTTCTAAAAAGTTCTACAACACACAGTGCTTTGTTGCACAGAAAAATAGGATACACAGAACTCATACATGTGTCCCCTGAACCAGACTCCACTGTATCACCTTTTAAAAGACTTTATTAGTTATCACTCATTTCTTGCAAAATCTGCCTCTAGCTTAAAAGAATTCAATAATATGCTAAGTGAGAAAAGCATCATCATTTTCTTGCTTTCAGAAAAAGATTTCTAAGCCAAAGCTATGCAGAAAGTTAAAATGTAGCTGTGTAGCAGCTAGCAGAACCATAAAGGTTGCACCAATTTTTGGCAATTTTACTAATTCAGCACTTAACATTTTTCTAAACAGCATATGCTTTTAGGTAGTTGAGAGGAATGAACTTAAGTCTTCAATCTCTGCCAACCATCATCATGGCACAGTGGATTTCCTTGTATTCTAGTTTCAGTGGAAGATTTTGAGAAAACTAAATCTTAAAATAACATGAAAACTTAAAATAACATGAAATGAATAGGAGAAAAAAAGATCATGTTACCTTAGAACGAGATTTCCCATTTTCTCCATAGGAAGACATATCTTTTATTGCTTCAGGTGGCATATAATTCATCGTTCCAACCTAGTCATAAAAATTTAAAGATACTCCTTCAGTGAGGCATGCATTTAACTCACTTGATAAAAAATTAGATTAGTCTCAAAGCACTGAAAAGCATCTTGAAAATTTGTTTCTATTAAGACTGAAGGCCACTGCTATTCCATTCAATGAAAAGATGTTAAAAAATCATATGTGAATATTTACATATATACATATATATATATAACCATTCTGCATAAAATTTCAGTATTCATTAAAGTCACTGCATCAATTCAACATAATCGGTCAGTACTATAGCAGTTCACGGAAACGTGTACATTGGTTTCCCAGAAGTGTTCTTCACCTGAGAATCTTTAATGATGCTGGTCACATCTGGCTGCATTTGGTTTGCAATGCCAAAGTCAATTAGTTTTAACATTCCGTCGACTATCAGAAAGTTTGCTGGTTTCAGATCACTGTGAATAATGCCTGTAAAAGAGTTTAAAGTCAATCCAGGTTGAGTAAATTCAAGTTACAACTATGGTGGAGTTTTTTATTGTTCAATTCCCAAAATCCTTACACAGAGAGAAGGTGCAGATCAGCTTTACCTGGCCAAACCAAGTTATGGCCAAAACTAACTTATTCTTTGTCAATTTCATAAAATGCTTCCATTTCTTTTTAAACACTTAAGACTTGCATGAGTTTATAGTTTGAATTATTACTTATTCAAATCTACAGGCACCCCAAAAGAGCTCCAAGAGACTTGAGTTGCATAGTTTCTCTCCATTAGGGCCAGGCCCTCCAGCTGCACGTGCACACTGCCACACTGAACTGCTGTTCTGGGGCAACTCAAGGGCCTGTACCTTCCTGTAGCTTTCTCTTAAATAATCAGCTAAATAAGCACTTAAAAGAAAAGAATTACATTGCTTAGTCTGGTGGGGCTCTGAGCAACCTGATCTAGTTAAAGATGTCTCTGCTCTCTGCAGGGAAGTTGGACTAGACGACCTTTGAAGGTCCCTTCCAGCCCAATATGTTCTATAATTTTATGTTTTCTGCTTCTGATCTCAAAGATACCATTTACTGAGGATTACATACGATTGACCTCTCAAATCCTACCTACACGATTTATTATGGATTTTGCTTACTGTCCATATGATCAACAAATTCATCCTTATACTTTACAAAATGGGTCCAAGGACACACCATCTAGTATATAGCCTGTGTTTTAGTGGCTTTTGCGCTCTTCTATATTATTGAATGTCCTAGTATTCTTGTGCCCTGTCATATGTGCAGGTCTCTTCACTTATTTATTTTTTTTTCCTCCTTAAATACAAAAAGGATTCAAAAATGCTCTCTCCTTCATGTTGTAAGGCCAAACAGAATACAGATGCAGGCATTTCAACTACATAGGTAAAGATGAAAGGAAGGCCTGAAAGATTTATGAGAAAAAGCTGAAATACTAAGTCAAAGTGAAGACAATCGAGCTGTGTAAAAGCTGTCATTCATGTCAAAGCTTCTTTGGAGAGGATGAACAGCTAAAAATTGGGTCTAATGGAGAACAAGTAGTATTGTGAGTATACAATGTAGTCTAATATACAAAAGATTATTTTCTGTCTGTTGCAGGGAAACAGAAAGCATTATACAACGGTGATACTTGGAGATCACTTTGAGTTAGCAAAGTCTACCTCAATGCATCAACATTTACTTGTCTTTTGTTTCACTAAATTTTTTTCACAATCAGTGCCCATCTTTGAAGATCACTGGGCTTACGTCAAAACTAAGGGCAGTACCACATCCAAAATTTAAACACATTCATATTATCTCTGCCATATAACCTATACAAATACCTAGAATAACTTAATAATACCATATTCGTGGATTGTGTGAACAGCTTCCAGCATATTTTTCCAATAGCTCTTCCTTTCCAATGGATCAATGCTTTTTTTCTTTTTAAGCCAGCTATTGAGATCAATATTTCCACACTCCATTACCATGTAGATATGATGGTCAGTAATTTCACTAAAAATAAATAAACATACTTATGTTAAAATTCAAGGCATTTTCTATATACAAGAAAATATTGGTTTAATAAGATTCAGTGTTTACTCACTAGCCATAAAGGCGGATGATCTTATCACTATGTTCTTGCAGTCTACTCAAATGAGCAATTTCATTCTTGTAGCTCTCAACAGTCTGTTTATCAGCTTCCTCTAGATTCACATACTTGACAGCATACAGCTGCTTCTTTTCATTCAGTACTTGAAACACCTGCAAAATAGTATCAGTTAATAACTCCATTCAATCCTAATTCTGATTTATTATGGCTCTTTATCTTACCACAAACAGAATTTCAAAGAAAAAGCGTACCTTCTCGTTAGGAAGCGTTTCTTTACCAAGAGAGTGGTCAAATATTGGAACAGGCTTCCTAGAGAGGTGATAGATGCCCCAAAACTGTCAAAGAGGCATTTGGACAGTGCCCTTAACATGCTTTAATTTTTGGTCAGCCCTGAAGTGGTCAGGCAGTTGGATGAGATGATTGTTGAAGGTCCCTTCCAACGAAAATATTCTTTTTCAAATTATTACTCTCTGAATTAACAGAATCATGTAAAATTAATAACTTAGCCTCAGCCTTCACTAGCAATCTCTCTTCTTACATCTCTCAAGTGGACGGACAGCAAGACAGAAACTGGGGGAGGAAAGTCCCTCCCAGTGTAAGACAAAAATCAAGTTCATGACCACCGCTGAGGAACCTGAATATACATAAGTCTATGGGACCTGACAAGATGCATCCCAGAGTCCTGAGGGAATTGGCTGATGTAGTTGCCAAGCCACGCTCCAGGATATCTGAAAAGTCATGGCAGCAAGGTAAGGTCCCTGGGGACTGGAGAAAGGGTAACATTGCACCCATTTTTAAACAGGGTAGAAAGGAAGACCCTGGGAACCACTGACCTGTCAGCCTCACCTCTGCCTGGGAAGATCACAGAATGGATCCTCCTAGAAGCTCTGCTAAGGAACATGGAGGACAGGGAGGTGATTTAAGACAGCCAGCATGGCTTTACCAAGGGCAAGTCCTGCCTGACCAACCTAGTGGCCTTCTATCATGGGAGTAACTACAGCAGTGGACAAGGGAAGAGCAATGGATGTCATCTATCTGGACTTCTGTAAGGTCTTTGACACAGCCCCCCACAACATCCATCTCTCTAAATTGGAGAGCTGGATTTGATGGGTGGACAAGGAAAGGTCACATGCAGAGAGTAGCAGCCAACAGTTTGTTGTCCAGATGGAGATCGATGACAACTGGTGTACCTCATGGGTCCACACTGGGACCAGTGCTGTTTACTATCTTCATCAGCAACATAATGGGATGGAGCACACCCTTAACAAGCCTGCAGAGAACATTAAGCTGAGTGGTGTGGCTGACATGCCTGAGGGACAGGATGCCATCCAGAGGGACCTGGACAAACTCAAGAACACCAGAGGATTTAGTGAACTGTATTAAGGATGAGATACTCAGTTCTAAAACAAGCTCTAATTAAGATTTCTTGGCAATTTTTGGCAAATCAAAAGGATAAATAAAAAGTTTAAAACAGAAGTGTTATCATTTAAGCTAAGCATCCAGTTTACATTTCACTGCATGCCTCTAACTAAAATTAATGTTTTCACTTTGCACGTGCTGTAAACTAAGTACTATGTAAGCTGTTACTGAGGATTAAGCGATGCATGCATGTGACAAATTTCCCTTACAGAAATTCTTAGTCTGTCCCTGCGACTAGCAACAGTCTTTAGACAGAAGCATACAAGTAAAGCAGAGGTGAGAGAGACAGAACAGACAGAAAAGAAATCCAACTCACATAAAATTGCTTATGTTGGGATTTTTAATAATTCTTAACATTCTGAATAAGAGATTTTACTAAAACTGTTTCCCAAGCTCCTGTGACCCCACATTTCCTTATAAAGAGCACAATCTACCTCCAGGCCTTCATGTAGAAAGCTGAAGTGGGATCCCACCACTGTTTATTGATTTAAGTGAGATTTTTAGATGGTCATCAGTTGCTTGATGACTTTTTCATATTTCTGTAGCTTCAGTTCAGTGTTCTGACCAGAGCTGTTTTGAGGATCTATTCACTGTTTATTCTTTACTTCACAGCCCCTTTATCTACCCATTGATTTTACTTTATTTCTCCACTAAACCCAACAGTTCTGTGCTTAGCATCCCATAATAATGGAAGTATTTTTATAATACATTAATTCAGTTATTGCAGGCACTCTGAAGACTCAGGTAAAACAGTAATGCATGAAGTCTAATCTATGCACTATGTTTCCTCTGCATCCACGAGGCATGAAGTATAAGCCTAGCATTAAAACAAATTTCTAGATTCTCTGACTCACTCAGACACTTTGTACATGTTAGCACTAGGCACTCCTTATTAGATAACTTCAACATGTATGTTTACAATACAACTACTATTGTGTAAATGAGTGGCTGTCTAAAAGGATAAAAGAGCATCTTACCTTACTGGAGCCTCCACTGCCTATTTGCTTTAATATTGTATAAACTCTTCCTTTGATGGCAAGACATTCATGTGAAGGTATAGAAGCTGGAACCTGTGTACATATATAAAGAAAATTAAGAAAAGTATTGGTATATGTGCAGTTGAACTTGGTAGAGCTTTCCTTCATAAAGTTAATATATTTTAAATTGTCTTGGTCTTTCTGAACACGATAAAGCCTAGTATAACTAAACTTTATATACGCTTATCTTTAAAGCTGGAGATCCCCACGGAAAAGGTATTTCTACAATGTTCATCACTTGGCATGTAACATCACTAAAATCTTTTATAGATAAAAGATACTGATGGTCTTCACACTGGAAATCAAGAAAAGGCTGTTCTTTAATACGTCTCCTCACATCATTAGACACACCTCCCTCTCTACAGGTAATGTTTGAAAGTCTCTGGATAATCTAGTTTCCATCACAGCATGCAACTGACTTAGAGCTGTACGCAAATTCACTATTACTCTGCTTGAAGCTAACTACTAGATAACAGGTTTCAGTGCTGTGAAGCTGCAACAGCCTGCACATGCTATGCCAAGCTGTAGAACAGCTACAAATTTTAAATATTTATATCCTCTGGTAGGAAGCTTAAACCTACACCTCAACTCTATCTACAGCTGGGAAGATTCCTATTTGAATGTGAAATCCATTTATGATCCATTTCTACATTCCAGGCCACCACAAATACATCAAAATTTGCGGAATCAAACAAAATGGAGAAGGAATAGAATTCTTCATTCTTTTATGCTCCTCAAACTCTTAGGTTTTAGCATACACTGCTTCTCCTTATGGGTACTCTACTGTAGTGGGTAGTACCACTATAACAGCCTAGCAGAATAGAAATAGTGACTATTTCTTGTCTGTGTCATGAAATAGAATTTGAAAAGGCTTAGAATTCAGACACAAAGGCTTCAGGATTTTGACAGGAGAGCTAAATTATTTTACCTCAAGTCAGACATACATACAAAGAAACAGTTATTTTGAGAATAAGCAAAAGACTACTTTCCATTACTCATCCAGAAAATTGAACAGCAAGTTGAGATTAAAACAATATATACATGCGTATACTTAACCTAAGTACTCTCTACATAATTTATGTACCGAAAAATTGTAGAAGAGAGCTTAAAATTGCTACCTGCAAGCCAACTTGATTTTGAAATGGAGTTGCTGGAGTGTGTGGCAGGAAATACGGGACCTGGCTGTAAGGAGTAGAAATCTGACATCCTGGTAGAAAGCTGTTCTTTACAACTGGTGTTCTGAAACTAAAGGAAATAACGAACAATATCTGCATTAGCTGTATTTTTCTAAAGATTATCCTAACAATAAAGTCGAAATCTTCAGTACTTCTTGAAAGTTAAACTCAATCAAGCCTCTGCTACATTCAACAATTAGCATTAAGACCACTTCAACTTCTTGACTTATAAGTCCATTACAAGTACACTTAAATTACAATACACTTCAGAAATATTTCTTAAAACTGTAACTAATTAAAACCCCATCTTCAGGTGCTAGCTGGCACTCCTCACAGAGTGGAAAAATGAAAGCACCATAACTACAAAACTGATCAAAAGACAGCAAGATAGTCTGAGCTATAGTTAGTCTTCTTTAACTTATTGTTCTTTATTCAAAATCTTCTTAGATTAAGAGATATTTTTTCTTTTCAATTGAGTATGAGAACTACTTCAAGGCAATCATGAGAGGGTTTTTCTGAGAGCTTTAGCTACACTGTGTATGAGCAGAAAGATCACATATTTAAGAAAACTAAAAATTGCAAGAAATCCTTTATGTTTTTTTTATTTGTTCCCTTGATGTCTATTATGTCTTTAGTTATATTACCAAATATTTTTTCCACAGGAACTGATACTGCGATCAGAACTGGAGAAGAATTTACATGCCTAGAACTTTTTTTTCTGTGAGGAGTAGAAAAATGAAAGATTTAAAGTGAAAACCAATCAGAAGCATTGTTCTCACTGAAGACAAAAGCACTCAGTCCTGCCTGTTGACCACATGTCATATACACTGTGTGTAACAAAAATTCTACTTTAAAAAATTTACATATTAAAGTTTGAAAGAACAACAATCTGTTTAAGGATACTTCTGTCAAGTTCCATCATGAAAGGATGTTCTTTATTCACCACACACACTCTAAATCCAACACCTACAGGGACAGAGGTCCTACCAACAGGAACAGTGCCTACTCATTCATCATACAGCCTTGACCTATGTGATTCATCCTGGACACTTACGAAAAACAGTAACTAATCATATAATTAATTATCAACATATGCACAGGGGGTTATGCCTAATTTAAGATTGCACTGGTAAACAAGTGCTAGCATTTCCTAATTTGGGTGCTTGATTCTGCAAGCCTCTCAATTCCTTACTTTTTTTAAGCCCAGACACTTGCATCATGAAAACTGGACTGATATACAGTTATCAATCTAAAAAGCCTGTCAGTCGCAAAAAAACAAAAGAAAGTGTCACGTAGCAGGGATCAGGGAAGGAGAGACTTACTACTTTGATAGTATACTTCCAAACATTGAAAAGTTGACAGTTCCCTAAATGCAATCTTTAAGTCAGGCATTTGCCATCAAAGATTGGAAGTACTTGAAAATCTTATACAATTATAGAATCAGTAAGGTTAGAAAAGACCTCTAAGATTTTCTAGTCCAACCATATACCCAGCACGACTATGACCACTAAACTATGTCCCGAAACACCACATCTATCTTGCTATATCTGAACAGAAAAGCTTAAGAAACCCAGTTAAAAACTTCTCAAGTCTTCCCAGAGATTGATACTCTTAGAGTGTGCAGGTCAAAGTGGTGGCTCACCAGTCCATATAGTCCTTGTCTGTGGCGCTCGGTGTTCCACAGACATGCAATGGGTCACTTCTCTTAGAAACAGCATCTGGAGGTGATAATCCTTTTGAAACAGGGTGACCAGACTGCTCAAGGCTTGATTGTTTTCCCTTCAGAGGGCAAAGCAAGACATTATTCCACACAAAAAGCCACAATTAAGAACACAGAAATAATTTTTCCACACACAAAGGCTGCTACAGCTAGAAAACCACTACGTATCCTTGTTACTTTACCTCTGCAGAGCAACTTTTCTGTATCGCTTCATGAACTGGCCATTTTTTTCTGGCACTAACACAGTTCAGTTTAATCTTATCCAACTGCTTTCTATAGCTTTCACCAGAACTAGATTGCTGCTGTTTACTTTCCAGACTCCTTGGCTCTGGTATCTTCAGCTCCTCATGCTGGACTTTTTTTTCTGGGAAAAAAAAAACCAAACAGATTTTTATGAAGACATTAATGCTTCAAAGAGTTTCTGCCAGTATTCTACTTTCTTACAGTAGGTATGTCTATATATATATATATAAAATCCTAAATCCAATTCAATATATATAATCCTAAATCCAATTCAATATTATTAGACATTTTCACCTATTTTTTCAGGATCAGAAATCAGAAAGCTGCCTAGGAAGCTAGATTTCTGATGAAGCACAGCAGTGGCAAGTAACTGTACAAGATTAGTATATATATTCCAATATTTCACACTGCTGATATTAAGCCACCACTAGTAACCTTCTAAATTTTACCAGCTATAAATCAGAGTTGTTTATAAAGAAAGACCACAATAAGGTCACCTCACACCACTCCTATTTCTACATCATGAGGTGACTTCGCACAATAGTCAAACTCTATACATTAGATAAATACTGAAGCAGAGCTTAGGCTACTTCTGGAATACAAAAAAAAGTCTGTTTCTGAAAAAAAATCCTTCCCTGAAAGTATATTAATAATGCAATAATTTGATTCTTATGTCAAAGCTTATATATCTTTAAAAAATAAAACTTCTAAATATTGCAGTACAATTAAGGCTGAAACACCATGCTGTTTAAAGTAAGAGCATTTACGTAGTCAGAAGTATAACAGAGCATTTGATTGACACTGAAATTTAATAAGGCTCTAAAGGGTACACTTTTATTTCACACAAGTGTCATTCACACAAGGGATTCCTGTAGAACAAGTTCATAAATTGGAATGCACCAAGTACATGGAAAAAACAGTGAAAATTATATTTTTTTATTCAATATATAGTAAAAGAAAAAAAGTAAACAATTTGCCTTATGACAAAGTGTTTCCATACTTTTGGGAAACCTCATAAGTAACTATGACATTAAGAAAGCTATTTATTCTACACTTTTCCCCAAAGATTAAGATGCATGCATATGCTGTGCTAAAACTCAGGTGAGGGTAAAACTGTATAGCAACAAGTGAAGAAACACCCAAGATGACATAAATTTAACATTTACACGTAAATTTGCATAGAGCAATGGAGCTGACCAAAGACAACAGATACTTAGCAGATGAAACCAAAAAAACCTAAAAATTAAAAAAAGACAAACCTGACCAAAGCAGAAGCAAACAATTCAGAGCTGTGAACAATTCAAATACGTGAAATAGTCTCTGATACATAAAGAGCAGCAGAAAAAGCTACTTAGAGTTTCAAGTACTAAAGGGTAAAAAGGACGGGAAGCCGAGTGCTGAATGCAATGGAAGGCAAGGGTAGCCTGCACTCAGAGTACTGCAGGAGCTTTGCAGTTTGTCAAGCGAAAAACAAAGTCATGGTCTCATCTTCAGCCAAAACACTCTCAGATTAAACTTCAATAAAGTCAGAGTTAGGAGCATATACAAGGAAAGTCACAGGAGAAGCAAACTACTATAATTTGAACGTCTCAGAAAAATCAAAACCGACTTCCCCTCAAGAACGTTATGATTCTTGGTTTGAATTTCTCTCTGCCAACATCCACTTTTTTTTGGTACAAATGAGCACTATTACCTGATACTCTGGCAACATTTTTCTACACTCAGGCTGGCAAGTCAATCTGAATCATCGCTATTTCAATGCCCACTTGCTATGTGGTGTAAAAGCTAAGGACATAATGAACTAGCATCATATATTGGCATTTTACTTCAAGGCCCAGCAGTCCACATTTTTGGACAATGCAGCAGTAAGAATTCTTGTGGCTTTCGGCAATTTGGGTTTTTCTGGTGTGTTGTCTTTTTTTGTTTTGACGGGGTTTTTTGGCTGGGTTTTTTTTCTCGTTTTGTTATTTTTGGGGGGGTTTACTACTTTTCAATTCAAAAGTCAAATTTCAATTATATGCTCCTCAATTCCAAGCAGCTAATTTTTTTCGCTTTTTGAAGAATATTTAGCAGTGTTTTTTTTTAATACAGAACAGCAGGTTTTCAACGCTTATTCTATTTCAAACTACTAAAACATCACATATTAATAGTTACCTTCTCTTTTCATCACAAGACTTGTATCCATTTTGGTTTTGAGAGTTACAGTTGTATTGGTAGCCAGTTCTAAGCTATTCTCATCCAACATCTGCAACCGTAAAGAATTTTTTTCTTGTAAGGACTAGAGAAAACAAACAAACAAAAATCTTAACAAGCATCATGAGATCCCATGTATGAAATACGCTGCCTTATGATAATTAATGATTGACTCACCACAAAACCAGTACACCTTAGAAAACAGTGCAGGGTACACTGACAAGCGCTACCAATACTATTTTTAATTCCAGCAACACCCTTAAATTTCCATGTGAAATTTAATGAAGGCCTAAATACTTTCTATTCTTGACTTTTCTTTCAGGGGATGGGGACGCAGGACATGAAAATGCAAGGCATAGCACAAAATTAATTTCTATCAAAAGACATAATTTATAGCTCCACAGAACACTTAATGATCTCAGTTAAATGGAGTTCATTTGAGAACTTCAAAAGAGAACTTTTCAGGATAAAAAACTCATGACTACAGCTGAAAAAGCTCCTGTAGGCAAGATAAAACCTGTTTATCCCCTCTTCATAAGTCATATGACAGATTTTTTTTACTCACACCCTCCCCATTTTTCCTGTCAGATGTAGTGTTTAGGGAAAGCTTTCTGATCATACACAAGAACTTTCAAAATCAAAGCCCACAATGAAGATTTCTACTGTCAACCAATTACTTAAAGGAAAAATTCCACCTTTTTTCTTGCACTGATGGCCTCTACAGATCCCTTCCCACTCAAAATATTATGATTCTATTTTCCTTTCTAATATCATAAGACCGACAAGTAGAGTTCCTTATACCTATTTAAAAAAAAGACTGAAGTTACCTGCAAGTCTCCCAGGTCGTATGAATCGCTCCCAGTAGATTTTGATTCTGATGGTGGAAAAGGTGCAATGAAGGCTGTACATTTGGAGCTGGAAATTTGCCTACTGAAACAACATTGTTAATTACATCATGTGCCAACATATAACGTGGTGATGGCTTTTTGTGAACCAGATGAAAAAGGCAGTTGTGTGAAGACTTTTGTCTACAAGCTTCAAATATACCGAAAAGTAGGAGAGCCAAGTAAGAAAAAATATTTAAAAAAAAAACCAAACCCTGTAACAATGCCCTATCATCCTATGAAATGATAGATGAGTTAATTGGTTGTCTCCCACAGAAGACAGTATAAGTTATGGCTATGATCCTAAACCCCAATGGTGTGTTCCAAAGCAAATTTTTAAATACTTACAGAACAATACTGTTATGCGAAGTAATTTATCCCACTACTTTCACAGATTCAGAATATTGTGCTTTAGCTAACTTCTGAGGGGCTAAGTATGCAGCTTTTATTCTTTAGTTCTGCATTTCTCCCCAAAATTCCCATTTCCACATGAATTGAATCACATAGCAATAAGAGGGAAAGTCAGCATAACAGACTTGACTGGGAGAGGGAGCTTTCTCCTTTGCTTTCAACTCTGTTAGTCACGTAACATGTAGCAAAGTGCTATTTTAGTTGGCAGATTCTTTCACCATTGAACAGTTACTTGCAATAAAAAGAGCATAACCACTTTCTTAATATCATCATTATCATATGGATTATGTTGAAAATGAGGATTTAAAGATTCTTGAAGTTACAAGACTGCCTTATATCTAACTCTACAAACTAGAATACAGAGATGTTATTTTGAACAAAAATTATTCTTGCCTTAGTCTCCTATGTCTTGAACCTACTGATTAAACGGAACAAGCAACTGATCTTTGCATGCCATCATACAAAGAATCTGAGCAGCAGAATACCTATCACAACTATGACTTTGTCAGTCATCTTTAGATTAACATTAACATCTGATGTTTCCACTATCCAGTAAAAACATTGAAAAAAGAGTATTAAAATTTATTATGCTGTAGTAAATGCAATAACCCTACCTCTTCATGGCACTAGCTGTAAGTGGGACATCTGTCTCCTCCACATCATCACCAGCATCAGTTACTAGTTTAACAGGTACCCTCCCAAAGGGGCAGGCCTAAGAGTAAATTGAAAGTTATCAGGTGTGCAAAGTAGAACAAAAAGATTTTGAAGCAAAACATTACACGTTCTACCTGGTTAGATTTGTTCAGTGCTCTTAATGGATTGGGGTAATTAACTACAGCATCGAGTTCCTGTGACTTCTCATCCCTGAAGGTAAGAAAAGAAAACCCATAACACTGTAGTGTGTCTTTGATTTTAGTTTAAAGTATATTTAAGAAATTAAATAAGAAATCAAGCCATTACCCAATAAAAAGTCTTGTAACAGTAGAAGTTTCACCAGAATCATTCCTTTTTGTGCTTCTGTAATTTCCAATTATGCTCTGAAGTCCAGACTCTTGTGTACCTGACACTGTAGGTAAATGAATTATAATTACTCAGATACTACTGCCAATTGTATTAGTTTCAAAAGAAAAGAATGTTTTTTCATAAGTGAAATTTAAAAATACACACATTTGCAGTAATCTAGTATTAATGACGTATATTACTGTTTTCTACTGATCTAAGCAGTACAATAATTAATATTAAAAAAAAAATCCAAATACAGACTTAGAACCAGAAAGAGCTTTCCAGGATAAGCACAAAACGGTTTGTAATTATAACAGTTGTTAAGTACATTAGCTACTTGTCTTCTGCACAGCTTTAGCTGTAAACTATGTTTAAACACATAAAAGGGAGATTCAAGATATTCAAAGACCATCAGAGCAATTTAACTTCTAACAGAAAAATCTCCCTGTTAAGATTACTCTATATGCAGAAGCAGGA